TCAATATAATACTGGAAATCCTAGCCAGAGCAATAAGACAAGAGAAAGATATACAAGGAATCCAAATAGGAAAAGAAGTAAAACTATCACTATTTGCAGATGATATGATAATATACATAGAGAACCCCAAAAACTCCATAGAAAAACTAATTAAACTCATCAATCAGTTCAGCAAAGTGGCAGGATACAAAATCAACATGCAAAAGTCAGAAAGCCTTCCTATACACTAACAATAATCTGAAGAAGAAGAAATGAAAAAAAACCATCCCCTTTATTATCAAAACAAAAAAATCAAATACTTGGGAATAATCTAACAAAAGAGGTAAAGGACCTTTACAAAGAAAACTATAAAACACTGTTAAAAGAAATAGAAGAAGATACAAAGAAATGGAAAGACATCCCCTGCTCATGGATTGGAAGAATAAACATTATTAAAATGGCCATCCTACCAAAAGCAATATACCGATTCAATGCTATTCCAATAAAAATTTCAATGTTATTCTTCAAAGAAATAGAACAATTATTGATGAAATTCATATGGAATCACCAAAAACCCCGAACAGCCAAACTCTCCTGAAAAAAAAAAAGAAGGGAATGGAGGCATCACACTCCCAGATTTCAGGCTATACTACAAAGCCATAATCATCAAAACTGCATGGTATTGGAACAAGAACAGACACACAGACCAATGGAATCGAATAGAAAATCCAGAAATAACCCACAGATTTATGGTCAACTAATATTTGACAAAGGAGCAAAGAATACGCATTGGAGCAAAGAAAGTTTGTTCAATAAATGGTGCTGGGAAAACTGGGTCGCTACATGCAAAAGAATGAAGCTTGACTACTACCTCACACCGTACACAAAAACCAACTCAAAATGGATTAAAGAACTAGACATAAAACCTGAAACCATAAAATACATAGAAGGAAATATAGGCGAAACACTACGTGATTTGCACATCAAAGACATCTTTACAGACACATCACCCAAAGCAGTGATAGTGAAGGCAAAGATAAACAGCTGGGACTACATCAAATTAAAGAGCTTCTGCACAGCAAAAGAGACAATAACAAAAACAAAGAGAAACCCCACCAACTGGGAGAACATTTTTGCCCAAACCTAATGATAAAGGACTGATCACAAAAATCTGCAAAGAGCTGATGAGACTCAACAACAACAAAGAAAATAATCCAGTCAAAAAATGGGCAGAAGAGCTAAAAAGAAACTTCTCTGAAGAGGAAATGCAAATGGCCAACAGGCATATGAAAAAATGTTCAACATCACTTGTAATCAGGGAAATGCAAATCAAAACTACCATAAGATACCATCTTACACCAGTGAGAATGGCACATATTAAAAAACTAGCAACAACAAATGTTGGCGAGGGTGTGGAGAAAAAGGAACTCTTCTGCACTGTTGGTGGGAGTGCAAACTGGTCCAACCACTATGGACAGCTGTGTGGAGATTTCTGGACCTACTGAACATAGAGCTTCCACAGGATCCAGCAACTCCACTCCTAGGTATTTACCCAAAGGACACAGAAACATCAATTCCAAAGAACACCTGCACCCCTGTTTATAGCAGCACCATTTACAACAGCTAAGCTTTGGAAACAGCCCAAATGCCTAAAAATAGATGACTGGATCAAGAAGATGTGGTACATATATACCATGGAATATTACTCAGCATTCAAAAAAGATAAACACATGCAATTTGCAGCAACATGGATGGCGCTGGAAGGGATCATGCTCAGCGAAATAAGCCAGAAAGAAAAGAAAAATACCGGATGGTCTCACTCATAGCAGGAATGTAGAAAACTTAAATAAGGACCAGGAAAATGAATAACTATAAGAAAGTGAAAATCAAATCAACAAAAAATCTATGAAGCAGAGACACTTTTGGGGGGGTGGGTGGCGGGAGGGGAGGATTGGGGTCAAAATGGGGGGGTTGCAATTGTATGGGGAATATAAAAATAAAATTTATCATTAAAAAAATAAATAAATAAATAAATAAATAAAAATGTTAATGTCAATAGTTCCTGAAAATAAAGTTTATACAATTCAATACTTATTTCTAATTTTTAAAAATATCAAACAAATAAAATTTTAGTCAATCAAGAAAAAAAAAAGTATATTTCAAGAAATAGCCAAACTTTTCCAGATGACCATACATTTTGAATTCTCAACAGCAAAGTGTGAGAGGTCCTACTGTTCTCTATCCTTGTCATAATGAGATACTGTCAATTTTTCAAAATGTTTCAAAACCTTAATTGCTATTTCATTGTGCTATTTCAATCTGCATTAAAATCACATAAAAATCTGGGCCTCCCCGGTGGTGCAGCGGTTGAGCGCTGGGTTGCAAAGCTGCCCACAGCCTCTGCAGGGACGGTTCAATCCCCAGCCACCGGGTGAGGGTCCCACATGGCGCGCAGACCTCTTCTGCTGCCGCAGCTCCCCTCAGCAGTGTAATTCGGTCCTTCTGCCTGGCTCTGGTGAATTCTCTCACCCTCCCGCGCTTTTGACTGTACCCAGTGCTTGTATAAATAAATAAATAAATAAATCTTAAAAAAATTAAAAAAAAACACATTAAAATCATTAACCTAGTGGTTAATGAGACAGGCACATCTTATTTTTATTTGCTTCTACAGATCTTCTTGAGTGAAGAACAAATGTTTTGCACATTTGTTACTTTTTGTTTCATTTTGTTTTGATTACACAATCGTGGTGTCTATGAAAGAATTTCATTGCTTCCTTCCAGCCTGTGTCCACTTACTTAGTTTCCTTGCTTGACTGCAGTGACTAGAACTTCCAGCATGATTGTGATCATTTTTATCTTCCTACCAAAATAACAGGAAAGTAGTCTTTGCGTATTAAGTATTGTGTTCCCTGTGGGTATTTTAATGTGCCCTTTATTAAATTTAGAACATTCTTTTCTATTTTTGGTTTGCTGAGAATGCTTGTGTGTTGCTATGATTTGATATTTACCATGAGTATTTTATCTCTTTTTTTCCCTTCCACCAAACCACCCAAGTCCTTATGCCATCAGCCTCTTTTCCCCAAGTCCTCCACTCTTCCTCCTCTACCCTCTGGTAACCAGACCATGAGTAGACGTTGAATTTTGCCAAGTGCTTTTTCTGCATCTGTTGATGTGATCATATGAATTTGTTTGTTAATGGACTACATTTTTTTATTTAAACCAGTCTTACATTTGGTTGCATGATATTATCCTTTTTATATATTGTTTGATGTGATCTGCTAATATTTCATCGGGGATTTTTGCTGTGATGCTTATGAAAAGCACCAGTCAGCAGTTTTTCTTCAAATGTTTAGTGGAATTTGACAGTGAAGTAATCTGGGCCTGGATTTTTCCTTTTTGGAAGATTTAACCTATGGATTAAATTTCCTAAACAGACATGAAAATATATCTACATTTTCTTGGAGACTTGGACATTTGTGACATTCAAGAAATTTTACCATTTCATCTAAGTCACTGAATTTACATACAAAGAATTGCTTGTAATAGTCCTTTGTCGGGGTTTTTTTTTTTTTTTTTCTTGTCTGTGAGATCTGTAGAGGCAAGTTCTCTCCTGATAAATAATTGTCTCTTTTCTTCTAGATCATTCCAACTAGAGGCCTACTGATATTATTAATATTTTCTAAGGGCCAGTATTTTCATTGTTTCTCTGCTTTTTTTTTTTTTCTTTATTAGAGGCATGTTTTATTTATTTATTTATTTATTTATTTGTTTGTTTGTTTTGGTTTTTGTTTATACATGCACTGGGTACAGCCAGAAGCGCGGGAGGGTGAGAGAATTCACCAGAGCCAGAGTGGGGAGCAGAGCAGGCAGAAGGACCAAAGTACACTGCTGAGGGGAGCAGCGGGCGGCAGGAGAGGACTGCGCGCCATGTGGGACCCTCCTCCGATGGCCGGGGAGCAGCCAGGGATCGAACCTACACTGTAGAGGCTGTGAGTAGCTTCGCAACCCAGCGCTCAACCGCTGCGCCACCAGGGAGGCCCTGTTTCTCTGCTTTTTAACATCATTGATTTGTGCTGCTGTCTTCATTGTTTCCTTCCTTCCTTCTTACTTTGGGTACATTCTGCTGATTTTTTCTAATTTTTTGAAGTGAGACCTTTCTTCATTTTTAAATATGCCTATTTAATACTATAAATTTTCTTCTAAGCACTTATTTAGTAGTATCCTACACATTTTGCTATCTTTTTTTTTCACCTCAAAATATTTTCTAATTTCCCATGAGACTTCTTCTTTGTCTGATGGACTAAGAAATATGTTATTCAATATTTAATTATTAGGGGATTTTCCAACTCTCTTGACTTCTAGCCTAACTCCAGTATGATCAGAGAACATAATTTCTATTCAATTTTAAATCTGTTAAGGTTTGTTTTATGACCTGAAATATAGTTTCCTTATGAGTGTTTGTTTTTTATTAGAATGCAGGTTCTGCTATTTTCAAGTGGAATTTTCTATAAATGTCATCAAATCCAGTACATTTATGGCGTGAAGTTTTTCTTTCGTCTCGAGAATTTTCTGCTATTCTTCCATCAATTATTGAGACAAGAGTGTTAAAGATTCCAACTATAATTTTTAATTTCCATTTCCTTTCAATTTTATATGCTTTTGTTTCCTGTACTTAAAGAATCTGATGGTCTAGGTAAACATATTTAGTCTTATATCTTTTAGGTAAATTGTTCCCTGTTAGTACTTTTTGCCCTGAAGCCTACTTTGTATTATATTAAAATAGCCCACCATCCAGCTTTTTACATAGTAAATTCCTCCATTCTTTCACTTTCATGTTACCAGCATCATCATCATTTAAGCGGATTTCTTACAGACAGCATAGAGTTGGGTCTTGTTCTTTTATCCACTCTCTAGACTCCTACTAGTCACTCTTTCTCAGCTCACACTATATTCACAGCAAAATAATGCATCCCAGCACACACTGACTTATATGTAAAAAATGTACAAATGTCCAGTCATACTTGTCTGATGGGTGGGATTCCACGAAATACCCAGCAAACGGGCAATAAATTCGGGGTTGCAGGTCCTTTACCAGCCGAGCCTTGTAGTTCAGGAGCTTCCTCCTTTCTGTTTTAATGAATTGGGCTTTCCAGTCCTCTGGAATGATAGGGTTTGGATTAGAGTCTTCTCTGTGCAGAAATCACAGAAAACAAAAGCTCTAGTAGGGTAGAACTCCGTTAGGAGACAAATTTGACAAACTAATAAACCAAACAGAGCTCCGTGTCTGAGTGGATGGTTTCCCCTGGACTTACTTTATTTTGCAAGTTCCAACTGGTTATTAGGAAAATGTTGCCAAACCAGTCAGAGACACTAAGCCCTGACCTCATTTATGGCAATTCATTCAGACCCTAGTTGAACACACACATCAGCAGGCATAGTTATTCCTGCATGCAGCACATTATAAGAGCACTGTAGTTCTTTTTTAAAAAAAATGATTATTTAAACAACACAAAACACAACAAAACAAAAACAAACAGACAATCATAAATCAGAGACATACTGCAGGGGAGGAGGAGGGAGGGAGGAGCACAGGGGACTGAGGTGATGGTACACGGGTACATTGGTGAAGGGAATTCTATGGGGACTACACTTGGGGCAGGGAAGCAAACATTGTTTGAAAATGAACAATGATGTAAAAAATTTAGAAATAAAATATTTTAAAAAACAGGGTGGGAATAGCACAAGAGACTATGGTGATGGTGAACAGGTGAATTGGTGGTGGGAATTTCATGGCAACTACATGAAATTCATACATTGTACAAAAATGAAGAATGATGTAAAAAGTATATAAAATAAAAAATAAATAATACTTTGGTGTGTATAAAATAAATAAATATTTATTTCTTTATATTTTACATCATTGTTCTTTTTTTTTTTTTTTACAGTGTTTGCTTTCTTTTCTCAGGTATAGTCCCCATAGAATTCCCACCACCAATTCACCTGTGCACCATCACCACAGTCCCTTGAGCACTGCAGGTCTTATAATTATTAACGGTTCACTAAAATGGCAATGGCTTTATTATTTTGGTAAGTTATAAAATTAGAGCATGTTTGTCACACCTCAACAATGCACAGTGCTCGAGAGCATGCACAGTGGAGCCAGTTAAGACTTATGAACAAAATGCACCTCCATCGCTTAAATTCTTTAAGTCTCTTTCTTCCTCTGTAAAATGGAATCCTGATACCTAGGTCAGAGGCTGTTCCTTTTTCCATTTGCTCATTCATTCAATCAATATTTATTGATGACCTACTATGTCCCAGACATAGTTCCAGCACTGAGAATACAGGGGTGAATAAGGCTAAGCAGGTCCCTGCTCTCATTCTACTGAGAGAAGCAAATAATGAACAAATAAATAAATGAGGTTATTTCAAACAGTGAGGAGGTGAAAGAAAGTAAAATGGGGCAAAGGGGGGAGAGTGGTTGGGATAGAGTGGAGTGGAGTAGAGGTGTGGTTTGTGAAGATGATATTAAACCACAGAACACAGACAGAAAAGAAGAGAAGTTGCTAGCAGCATGGACTTCAGGGCACTCCAGACAGTGGAAAGAGCAAATACAAAGACCTGGGGCTGGGATGCACTTGGTGTGTCAGGTCTGAGGAACAAAAAGCAGACTGATTTGGGCTGATACATCACAAACAACAGGGACAGTAAAGGAAGTTGAGGAATTAGGTGGGTCCCAAAGCATGTGGGGTAACATGTCAGGGGACTATTTCTACTATATTCATTCGCTGTGAAAATTTGATTAACATGGGCAAGGATATAGAAAAAACAAAAGTTAACTGTAACCTAGACAGAACCACTACTAACATTTTGGTATATTCCAGACCTTTCAAAATGTACATGGATCCACATATACACACACTCATACAAGAATGGGAATATTCTAGTTAACCTTTAACTGGTATATTTTGTCTCTCCAGTCACAATTAAGGCCTTAAGGATAGCAACACTCTCTATCTCCGGTGGTCATATACTTAGGAGTATGAACATAGACTTGTAGAACAACAGAAGGAACTGGATAGAAGCTTTCTTCATCCTGTAAGTACTGCATTCTCTCCCACACCTTGTTAGACAGAGATTATTTACCAAATATATTAATTTATTAAGAGGACATATACTAGACACTTACAATGCTTACTGAGGATAACAAGATGAAAATATATATATACCCCCATCCAACCCCAGCATCACCCTTAGACCCAAAACAGAAGTATGTTGGCCCCACACTTATTTTTTTCCAGGTTTAAAATATAATTGACTTATTACATTGTATTGGGTTTAAGGTATGCAATGTGATTATTTGTAATGTGATCATTTTCCAAACTCCTGGGCCCTAGTAACCCCACATTTTGGAGTGGCTTTCTTTGGCTGTACCCCTCCCCTGTAAGTATTTCACAAGGTCTAGTGGATATGCCCACTTTGAATTGCACAACTTTACTCTGAACACATTTCAATAACATTTTAGCCTGAATGATCAATGGCAGGCCTTTCTACCAGTTCTGCGCTATGATCCACACGAAGACTTCAAATGATTCAGACCATTCTCTTTCTTGGCTATTCCTGAGAAGCTCCATAATATCCTTAGGGCTTCTTTCATTCTCCAGCAGCACATGTTGCGCTAGAAACTTCAGTTTATGTATGATTTGCAAAGTCTGCTTTCCCAGTAAGATTGTAAGATTCTTTTGGAAAGGGGCCATGTCTTAATTATCACTGTATTTATTCTCACAGCATTTAGCAAAGTGCCATGCCTAGCCCTTGGCATCAATCAGATATAAATTATTACCAGTAAACTTTCCACCGCTGAAAGTCATTGGAAAACCTGATGCTCCTCCAGCAAAATCGCTCATCATTAGAGCAACCTTCTCAGGCAGTCTTCCCCCATTGGGTCTGGTGCAGTCCACCGTATTGAGGATTTTATGACCTGTTGAAAAATGAAGAGGCATGATATTCACAGTGAGGTCTCAAAAAACCTAGCTTGCATTCCCAAGGCAACAGTCACCCATGAACAGTCTGTGTAATCTGACTCTTTTCATTTAAAAACAATTGCTTATATTCGGAAAGAGGAGAGAGTAAGATTTCAAAACCTGAAGTCTTTAATCACTGGTTTTGAATTTTAAGTGAATAAATCATCCCGTTCAGTTGGGTGGCTTCCGGATAGCCCATGAGGCCACTGTAGTGTCACTCCACTCCAGATTCACAGGCGACTACTTGGCTTAGTCAACTCTCTGCAGATGCTGAGCCCAGAGATGCAAGGGGAAGGTTGACAGGATCAACACAAATCTCTCAGCCTCCCGCAATTTCATTCAAAGCTCAATTCAGATGATTGTTGGGGCTGGAGGCCCCAACATATAGGCAGAAGTGTGTGATTACATTACATGATGATATATTAAAATAAAAGACATTTATTGAAAAAGGCACTTTTGAAGAAATCACTATAGGTGAAATACAGAATGTCTATTGCTTTACATATATTATTGCGAATTTCTTTTCTGGAAAGATTATGTGAATGATAGCCCATTTTTCTAAGACAAGGATAGACAAAATAAGATTCTATGGAAAATTAAGAGGGAAGGTAAGCATAAGATGAAATTTACATTAGCTAGTATTATCCTTCCTGGCAGTAATATTTGTCATTTTTCATTGTTGATGAGGATAAGAAAGTACCTTTGTATTCCACAATAATGCAAGTGTCCATCTCAGGATGAACGCCATCCATCAAGATCATGAATCGAAGATTTTTGTCTACCTGGAATTTAATAATAAAACCAGCAATTGTGTGTGTCAGTTTGGCTTTTGAGTCAATATTTGATAAAGCTGTTACCTCTTCTGGAATTAGGTTCCCCTTTACTCAGTACTGGATTTATTATCCTCTGCTCTTCTACTATAGTTGCTACCACTGGTAAAGGGAAAGAAAAATTTTATTTTAGCTCAAATAAAAGTAGTTTTTAAACAGTCCCAAAGGACAATGTTTTCCTTAATCATTTTTGTTGTTGTTGCAAAAGGCAAGAGTTTATTTCTTGTATCAGTGTTTTGTAGTTTTCTTGGTATAGGTCTTTCACCTTCTTCGTGAGGTTTAGCCCAGGTATTTAATTTCTTTTTTTTTGGTACAGTTGTGAATGGGATGGTTTTCTTGATTTCTCCTTCTTCAGACAGATTGTTTGCGTACAGGAAGGCTTTTGATTTTTGTGTGTTGATTTTGTAACCTGCTACTTTACTAAACTGTTTTATTGTTTTAATTAGTTTATCTGTGGAGTTTTTAGGGTTCTCTCTATATATTATCACATCATCCACAAGTAGTGGTAGTTTTACTTCTTCTTTGCCTATTTGGATTCCTTGCTTGTCTTTTTCTTGCCTACTTGCTCTAGCTGGGACTTCCGGTATTACATTGAAAAGCAGTGGTGAGAGTGGACATCCTTGATTTGTTCCAGATCTTAAAGGGAACGCTTTTAATTTCTCACCACAAAGAATGACATTGGCTGTAGGTGTGTCATATATGGCTTTTATTATGTTGAGATATATTCTTTCTATTCCAAGAATTTCAAGGTCCTTCATCATAAATGGATGTTGGACTTTATCAAATGCTTTCTCGGCATTTATTGATATGATCATATGGTTTTTGTTTTTGTTGATGTGGTGAATTATATTAATTTATTTTTGGATGTTGAACCATCCTTGTGTTCCTGGTACAAATCCCAATTGGTCATGATGTACCATCCTTTTGATGCATTGTTGGATTCAGTTTGCTAGGATGCTGTTGAGTATTTTTGTATTTGTGTTCATTAGGGTGATTGGTCTATAGTTTTCTTTTTGAAATTAGTGTAATGCTACATTTGTAAAATGTGCTTGGCAGTATTTCTTCTTTCTCAATTTTTTGGAAGGTATGTGATACACCGGAGGGCTTGCTTGGCTATTTGTATTTCTTCTTCTCCCTGCTGTTTGCTTTAGGATTTGTTCTATGCAGAGGGTCACTGTGCCATTGGTGCTGGCAGGCATCCCTTCAAGGTGCTCCTACTGGGAAATCAGGTACTGGTAGCCAGGCCAGGTATGGCATTGTCATGCCCAGCTTCACAAGGACCATGATGTTGTAAAATGGGCTAACGGGTCCTAGCACTGCAGATCACCAAGTCTCTGTATACTGCTGGTCTCTTCACTATGTGGGCATCTTCACCTACAACATGGGGTGGGGTCAGTGCAAGCATGTAGGGTTTTGCAGAGATTCTAATACTGTCTGTGGGCCAAAATGCACTCGTCCAGATGATCAATGCTCCCCATGTGGGCTGGGGCCTTCCTGGCTTTATTCATATTTCCAGGCAGGATGTGTAGGGGTCACCAGCCTCTAACATTTGTGTGCAAATAGAAGGGTGCTCTTCCAGATGGTCGTTGCTCTCCTTTGGCTTCTGGGCCTTTGTTTCTTTAATCTTAAAACAGCTACACCACCTAAAATTCATCTCAGAAAAGGTAATTACAAAGATGTCTGACCTGCTGCCATATTCCAAACGGCACCACGTTGATATTAGTCAACTTGACACCACTCTGATTCAGATTCCAAAACACAGGCCTTTCCGTATTTCCAACATAAATGGGAATATTTGGCCTTCTCCCAGCAAGCTTCTTCAGTGTGGGATAACTGGAATCAGAAGGATAGAAAGGTTAAAAGGTTAAAAAAATAAAGAATCCTCTAGTACAAGAGACAGTTTGTTCCTGATATCAATACATTAGCCAAGAAGCAAGGAACTCTCTAGGACTTCAAGCAATGCATTTTTGTAATGGGCAGTACAAAGCAATCACTCATTTATATGATATTGTTCTTGCTATATAAGCAATAGGCAATTGCTACCACACACTACTGTTGTTACACAATGCATGAACCAGGCTTCTCACAATCTTGAAGTTGTGCAAGTTTCATTCCAGGAGATTGTGGGACAAAGGTATCATGCAGTAACAAGTTTATTTCTAAATCGCTGGGCCACAATCCACCCACCCCCATCCCCCGCCCGCCCAGTGAGTTGCCCTCAACTTGCATCACAGGCAATTCATTACTAAAGCAGTTAACAACTAAAGTTTTTAAATGACTGCTTTTAGAAAATAATTTAGAACATGCTCATGTTTTAGAATCCCCATATACTTTGAAATATCAAGGAGCCAGTCAAGCAGCAAACACAATATTCTTAACTATGGACATTTTAATCGAGTATGTCTTGCATGTGAACTTTGTCATGCAGGGCCACAGACAAAGAAGGCTGAAATTGCTTCACTTTAGAACACTGTGGACATAGCTAGATGTATTGGGAGCTTAGCAGTATCGATACAGACCTCTGATCAAGCATGAAGAAACAAGACCCTTAATTAAACCACAGGACTGGTAATATTCTCCCTCTTCGGCTAACAGTTCATTCCAAATGTATCACTTTGTAAGGGAAATGTCTTTCACCTTCCTGTCTGGTTGCCTGGCTGTGCAGTTTGTGAAGTCGATACTCACAGCAGTATCACATATCTCTGGGTTAATGAAGTGATGGGTGAGGATGCTCCAAAAAAATAGGAGACCCTGTTGTGTTGGATGTTTTACACCAGAAGTTGGTATCCCACAGCAGCCTGCAGCTGCAAGCTCAGAATGGTTTTTATCTTTCTAAAACTTTGAAGAAAAACTCCAAAGGACAATATTTTCATGACACATGAACAGGATATGGTATTTCTTTCTTACTTTGTTTTTTTAAAGATTTATTTATTTATTTATACAAGAACCGGAGTATAGGCCAGATGTGGGGGAGGGTGAGAGGATTCACCAGAGACAGAGCAGGGAACAGAACAGGCAGACTGAAATACACTGCTGAGGGGAGCAGCGGGCGAGACAGGAGAGGTCTGCTGAGCCATGTGGGTATCTCCTCAGCTGGCAGGGCTCGAACTCACACTGCAGAGGCTGCAGAAAGCTTCACAGCACTGCGCTCAACCACCTGTGCCACCTGTGCCACCTGGGAGGCCGAGGATATGGTATTTCTGAGGCACTAGCCACGAGTAAGGTTTTACTGGAACACAGGCTCTTTCAGCACCACCCCGGGCTGCTTTTGTGCTGTAACAGCACATGTGAGTGGTGCTGACACTGAACGTGTGATTTGTAAAAGAATATTTAGTCTGGCCCGTAACAGGAAATGTCTATTGATCTCTGAAATAAATGTTGAAATAAAAAAGGAAGTCAGCTTTGATCATCCCTAGCCTAGACTTTTGGGTGGGACTGAAAGGACAGGGTAGATTATTTTTTCCCATAGTCACTCCTTCCTCACTCCCAAAGGTATAAAGTGTGGAAGCACCTTTTAAATTATGCTCTGTGAATGTAGGCATTTATCTAAATCAGTCCTCTAAAGGTTTCAATTAATCTTCTTTCATCAGGGCCTCCCCTGGTGGTGCAGGAGGTTGAGCGCCACGCTGTGAAGCTGCTCACAGCCTCTGCAGCGCTGGTTCGTTTCCGGCCGGCCAGCAAGGGTCCCACATGGCGCGGCAGACCTCTCCTGTCATGCCGGCTGCTCCCCTCAGCAGTGTATTTCATCAATCTGCCTGTTTTGTTCCCCGTTCTGTCTCTGGTGAATCCTCTCACCCTCCCACAAATCTGGCCTGTACCCTGGTTCTTATATATATAAACAAATAAATCTTTAAAAAAAAAATCTTTTCTTCATCCCAACTGAATCTACAGTGAAGTGAGCAGTGACTGCAAGTTACATAGGCCTTTACTGCAGGTTTCTCTCAGGAGTTGCACGCTGAGACTGTTACCTCAGGTGGTCCGAGTGCATGTGGCTGATGTAAATTAGGTCAGCTTGGCACAGCCGCTCCAGCCAATCATATGGAGGCTCATGTAGCAACCACCATCCTCGGGCAAAAGCAGGACCAGTTAACCAAGGGTCAAATACCATCCTCTTATCTCCCAGCTTGAGGTCCATGCAGGCGTGAGTGAGGTACGTTATCTGTCAGGAGAGAGTGCCATTCAGATTATGGCATCATTGCTGAAAGGTTGGGGTTGGTTTAGCTGACAAGTTATCATGGAGAACTTTGCTCCTAAGCACGTCAGAGGACTCAGCATGAGTCTTCACAGAGGTCACAACTCCCAGCTCAGGATACTCCCAGCAATCTTGGTTGGTTTTAGGTGTCAAACCCAACAGATATACCTAGTTTTACTTTACTTAAATTAGCTCCTAAGTAATTTTTGTACAGTCTGCATTGCAAATTATATTTTGTGCCCAGACTAGTCCTTCACAAACAGTTTATAAAGAAAGGCAATTAGAGGTGTTATCACAGGGATTTTGGGATTCAAATGCCAGCGGAGTTGTGAATAGGAATATGAACCACTATTTCCCGGTGAACTTGGTTGGGTCGGCATAGCCAGACACCCTGATTAAATAGGCTTGCAAAGCATTCTCTTCTAAATTACTGTTACTGCTACCTCACCCTTTCAGGCTGTCAAGATCTTCCAAAAATGGCTATGAACAATGACTGGCAGGTCCAGGCTGGGGGATTCCAAACCAGTGCCTCATTTCCTTCTTATGGTCTGGCCAACTCACAGGAAAAAAGACTGCACCATTGTGTATAAATGCCAGGCAAAAAAAATAAAAATAAAAAAAAAGAGTGCATCAAAAGGCAGCGGTAAGGAGACAGTAACTCCAGTGTGAAAAGTCAACAAAGAGGACAAGGAGAGGTCAAGAAATCAAAGTAGATTTTATGACGCTTCTTCTGGGTGGTTTCCTATTTATTTCCTCAAAAAAGTAACTGCCCATTTTCATCAGCATCTCAAACATTCCAGAAAAACAAAATTTTGATTGTTTACTTGTCCCAAATTACCAAAGTGTTTCCTCTGGTGGAAACTCTCTTCTAAAACTAGGAAAATTTATGCAAGGGTTGGTAAAAGATCTCAGGATATTTTACAGAAATATACAACTGGCCATTTTGTTTGGCCATAGTCATCTGAAATCAAGAAGGATTTCTGAACTACCTCCAATAGCTTTGAAGACTCTCCTTTAAGACTTACTCTGAAAGTTTTTTTTTTTTAAAGATTTATTTATTTATACATACAAGAACTGGGTACAGGCCAGAGGATTCACGGGAGACAAAGGGGGGAACAGAACAGGCAGATCTACTGAAATGAACTGTTGAGGGGCGCAACGGGTGAGACAGGAGAGGTCTACTGTGCCATGTGGGTCACCTCCCTGGCCAGGGATTGAACTCATGCTGCAGTAGCTGTGGATTGCTTCATAGTGCTGACGCTTACGCCACCAGCGAGGCCCCAAGACTTCTCTGAAAGTGTTTTTTTTTTTTAACAGTCTTTTGGTGGTATATTTCTTTGCCACACTTGCCAAATTCTGGGAGTTTCTAAAAAAATGTGCTCAAGAGTTCAGGATAATTTTACTATATGATTTAATTTGCCACCTCAAAGTTTATTCACAGTAATATAGGATGTGTGTGTGTGCAAATATAATTAATGGACATCTGGATTTTATTCTATATATGTAAACATATATTTATATATAAATGGATATCTTAGCTTTATTTTTACATGTATGAAATATATATACTTATATTTAAATGGATATTGTAATTTTATTTGCTTACTTTTTATTGAATATTGGTTTTTAACACAGTATGTTTCAGGTGTACAGCTTCTTACTTTGACAACTATTCATATCATACCCCACCCATCACCTAATGTCTAGTCACCAACTATCACCAGCCGACTCCCTTCTACCTATTCCAGCCCTTTCCTCCCCCACTCTGGTTTTATTTTTGGTGCTTAAAACTACTATAATATTAACCTTTCCTTACCTGTACTTCCCCAAAAGCCAAATCCTCAGGAGGTCTGGGGTCTGCATCCCAGGGGTTTGGAGGATTCAGTTCCAGAAGTAGAAGTCCATTCGCTTCATCCCTTTCAATCACTAGAACCAAAGAGGAAAAATCTAGATCAACAATGAAAATGACTTTTAAAACACATTCTTTTTTTGTTTTTTTTTAGAAGTGAGGTACAGGCCAGAATCATTGGGGATGAGAAGATTCACCAGAGAGAGCTGGGAACAAAACAGGCAGATATACTGAAAACCATTGCTGAGGGGAGCAGCGGGCCAGACAGGAGAGTTCTGCCGAGCCATCTGGGTTGCTCCCGGCCAGCCACTGAACTCGCGTTGTAAAGGCCCGGACAGCCTCACAGCACTGTGCTCAACCCCCAGTGCCACCACGGAGGCCCCTAAAACACATTCTTAAAATAGAAGTGCAAGGCCCAGATACACAGAGCCATCAAAACCCAAAGGAAATGCAAAATCAAAGGCGATGCTCGTTTGTGGCAAGCAATGTCTGAGATGGGGACTTAAACTCAACACAGACACGTAAGGGGGAGTCATGGAGGGCTCTAGGGACCATACTGAGGAGAAATTTCGATTTTATCTTGTGGCAATAAGGGTAATGAAGAATTATAAATAATCATGGCAGATATTGCTGGTGGCCTGCACAAAACTGGGGCTCTCCTTCTTCCCTACTGTTCATATCCTAAATTTTTTTGGAATGTCAATAGGCCTATCTGAAGCCAATGGTTTCCTACGTTCCTCTGTATAATCAATGGTCCTGGGCAAAGTGCTGTGAATAGTATATATAATCTGGTTAATGAGATGTGAGAACTCTACTAGTGGAACTTCTAAGAACACTTTCATTTTCCCCCCAAAAAGGGACAAACTCAAAGGATCTGCACTTTCTGACCCTTATCTTTCCCGTTCTTGTTTGGAACCTGGTTGCCACACCTGGAGGAGCAGGAGCGATACTGAGTCCTGCAGTAAAGAGCACGGTATTAAGGATGATAGAGCAGAAAGGCAGAAGGAACTTGGCTCCCTAATAAACCACAAGCTGCAGAACGGCCCAAGATCCTGCTTTCCAGCTTCTTAGGATACAAGAAAGACAAGCCCAGTATGGCTCAGGCCTTTCTTACTTGGGTTTTCTGCCATAATGGCTGAAAGCAGTATCTCACTGCCACAGCAAGGGAGTATTGGGAGCAGAACTGAGCTTTAGGCAGAGCGCTGAGAGACAGTTGGGGAGGAGCCAGTGGAGAGAGGCAGCAGCATGTGTGAGCGCACTCACACTCATGGGCCTTGGCTGGGATGACAGACAGCTTTTGTTTGGAATCCTCACTGCCCTGTCATCACTTAACAGCTGTGGGCAAGTTACTTGATTTCTCCATTCTCCAGTGTTTTCACTTCTATTTATTTATTTATTTAAAGATTTTTTTAAAATTTTATTTTTTATTTATTTTTTAACATCTTGTTCATTTTTAAACAATGTTTGCTTCCCACCCCCCCCCCAGGTGTAGTCCCCATAGAATTTCCTTCACCAGTGCACCCGTGCACCATCACCTCAGTCCCATGGGCTCCACCCTCCCTCCCTCTGATCGTTTTCCCTCTTCCTCCCCTGCAGGATGTTTCTGAAACCTTAGCTACCTCCAAAGACAGTCAATCCTGAGAAATGCCAGTAATTTTATTAATGGCTAGATGAAGTAAAGGAAGACATAGACTAAGGTAGTCCCAAGGAAACAGCATCACCCTCTTGCCAGCAAAGCCATTTTCCCAGTTTCTTCAAAGTATCTAAAAATGTTTGGCCTCCACTTTACAAATGTATATTAATTATATTCACTTCAAGATATTTGCTTATGGTAGAAACTGAAGTAAATTTATCAAAAAAAAAGCTTATACGGTGCATTTTAGAGATTTTTTTCCTCAGTGGATGAACAAAGACTTAGATATGCCAGCACACTTCAATTTCCATCTCGAGAGCCCACCCCAGAAGCAAGTGAAAAGCAGGGAAAAGGTTAGGGTGACTAGTCTAGGGTGGGTCTTGACTGATGATCTGAATTAGTATAACTAATCTCAGCTTAGTGTCCAGCTTCCCAACGCAGTCCTACCCACTTCCTTTCTCCATTCAAACCTCCCAAACTTGCCTGCTGGAAAATGAATGGGGCTTGGTTTTTTTTAATTTAGCAATGACACCAGACAAATGCCTCCTCCAGTCTTCCTCTTTCTCCATCTCTCTCGCTTCTCCCCTCTGCTTCTTCACCTTCTCTCTGCTCAGATCCTCCCTTCCTTGGGTGGGACAGGGAACCTGGAACCTCCCCTTTTTATGGATACAACATCTAGCTATGACGTTCCAAACGAACATTTCCAGAAAAACTGGAGATCTTTTTGGCTTAGAATTTGCAACAGAGGCATCTCCATAAAAAGAGGGAGGCTTCATGTTCCCTGCCCCACTGAATGAAGGGTGGAGATGAGCAGCCAGGTGATGAACACTTGGAGAGATACAGGAGAAACAAGGAGACACAAGAAGAGACACATGAAGAAGGGCCCACTTGCTTCTTGCCTTTGGACTTGCACCAGTGATATGGGGGACTTTGAGAAGACACGTGGAGTTGAGACATGTACAAACACTTCGAGGAGACATGTGGGTGAGATGTAACAGGATGGTCCCTGGGAGAGGGGAGGATCCAGGTTTCCTGCCTCACGTAAGGAAGGGTAGGGCTGATCAGGGAGGAGAAGAAGCTGGAGAGGAGCTGGGAGGAAGGAAGGAAGAAGGATAGAGAGCAAGGAGGAGACCTGGAGGAGGCACATGGAGCAGAGAGACATGAAGAAGCTGCACTTGCTTCTTGGCCTTGGACATGGGACTTGGGAGACAGGGAGGGAGATACTTGAAAGACACATGGGTAAGAGATCCATGGGTAAGTTAACAATAACAGCACTTATTTTGATTTTGCTCTTTTCCTTCCAGACTTGTCTGGCCCCTTATGCCCCTTTCCTATGGGTCCCCACCAGAAGGTGCCCTTGGACTTGTGGCAAGCCTTTGTTATCAGTCGCCCTGCTTTGAGCCAACCCTGTTGGTTGGGCATTTACCCACAAGGGGATGGGTGACTTTGGGTACTTGATTTGGAAACTTTATTCTTCCTCTTTTCTTTGCTGCACGCTAATTGTAATGAAGTTCTTTTCCATGGAAAGTCTTACACACTAGAGTATAATTTGTCTTGATGCAGGAGATGGTAGAACCTATTTAAAACAGGCAGGCTGGGGGTTCAGGGGTTCCCCGCTCCCTGCCCTGTAACAGATTAGCAAGTGAGGGGGCTGACAATGGCAGCTGATATCTTGGTTTATTTCTTGATTTGATTTACCCCTTTGGTCCCAAACTTGTTTGGCCTTTCCCTGTGGTTTCCTGCCAGACCCATGTGTTAGTTTTATGACTGATCCTTTTGGCTGGACATTTACCCAGGAGGGGATGAGTCACTCTGAGTATTTCATTCCGAATATTCTTCTCTTATCTCCCCAGCATTCTCATCCTATTAAAGCTTTTACACTAAGATGATGCTTTGCCTTTGTGCACACGTACGGTAGGGCCCCATTGGGCTCCTCAGTCTGCCCACTAACAGACTGATTGAAAACTAAAACTATCTTTTCCTAAAACCATGCGAGCTGGAAAGGGAGAACTTGACAGCAACTTCCCAGAAAACCACAATGGATGCTGACAATCCTGGAGACAGCTGCTGCTTTTCTAAGTGCCTGGTGACATCCAGCTACAGCTGTCTGCCATAACTCATCTGAAAATGTTTACACCACTGACATCTAGATTTTCACTCAGGGCTCTCAACCAGATTTTTGGTTTGCTTCAATCCTTGACCTTTGTTTTCCTTTTTTTCCCATATAAATGTGTACTATTTGCAAAACAGATGCTTAACTTTTAACACCCACTTACAAGACTGCCTCCAGAAACCAGACACAACTGTTTAACTAGACTGATGCACTCTTAGGACTGAGAGACTGATTCTCAGAAACAAATGAACTATGAACTTCTGATATGAGGCATTTCAGAGAAACCCCAAACAACTGCAGGAAAGAAAAAATCTACCGCCCAAAAATGTCTTTTTGAAAAAGGAGGGCGCTAAGGCTGGGTGTGGTTGCATTTTTGAGAAAGATATTGATATAAGGAGAACCTCCTCCCTTGTGGGTGTTTCTCTATTTCCCTGAAAGACCTAATGTCCTTATTTCATCTTTAGCTACTAAGCCTTCCCACTAACCTCACTACCTCACACCCAAAATCCCCTATCTTAGTTGAACTATTCAGATGGTGTCTAAAGCCACACAGTCAAGTTACTCTCTGGATCCTCTGCCACGAGTACAGGAGGTATACATATTATTAAAAGTTTTCTAATTTTTATCAAAAGAAAAAAATATTGCAGACATACCACCATGGAGGGGAGGTGCCATGCAGCCACCTTGGATTACAAGTCCCACTACACCATGAGCCGGACTTCCTGGGCTGGAGAGCTACTGGGAACTAAGAATGGAGCTGAGAGAATATAACACAGAAGGCAGGAGGGCTCAGTGTACCTGCTTCTCAGATTTCAACTTGGAATGAGACATATTTATCAAAACATGGAAGAGACACAGTGGGTAAGAGACACATGGGGCAGCTGGCAATGGCAGCTATTACCTTAACGTGTATCTCCTTTTTCCCTAGCTGAGACATTCCTAACGCCCTTCTTGTGGCTCCCCACCAGAAGCTACCTCAGACTTGCAGCAAGTTTTGGGGCACCAGCAGCAATGTTTTGATCCAATCCTGTTTGGCTGAGCATTTGCCAACAAAGGGGTGGTAATTTGGAGAGTTTTAGTAGGAAACCATTATTAGGAATAATCTTACTTCTCTATACAACTAATTCTATTAAAGGTAATTCACATTAAGAGTATGCTTTCTTTGCCTTTGTGCACATGGATGGCCAGATCCCTTTCAGAGCATGCAGCCCTTAAATTTGGATATCCCTCAGTAATGTGCTAACGGAAATAACAGTTTTGGTAATGATGTGGAGAAAAGTGAACCCTTACACACTGTTGGTGTGCATATAAACTAGTGCAGTCATCATGGA